TGTGTGTGTGTGGCCACGCTCAGCCCACCAGGGGGCGGGGCTGGCTGGCATGTGGTGCTGGGGGATTGAACCGTGGTCCCTGTGCTTTTGCTAAGCTTGTTCTAAGTAGGTGCTTTAGACCACTGAGCCATCTCACCAGCCCTACATATGCTATTTTGTTCTAAAGTTTTAGAAATTTTTCATTAAATCATGTTTGACGTATGACTGGTCACTCAGGAAGTTAAGTATCTGTATATAAAATATCTGTATGTGTATATTTTTACATGGAAAATTACAGTATTAATGTAAATTCCCTTTTTTAGGAAAAACAAATATAACAGTGCATACTCAGATAAAATGCTGAAATGTTTTACTGAAAGCAATCTTTTTGGAAAAAAGATTCATTATGTGCTGCCTCTTTTGCTCAAACTTTGGAAATTTTCACATTTTCCAAGTGCCTAAGACGTGTGTACCAAGGACACATTTTGTTACAGAGATTGTACAAGCTGATTTTTATTTGGACATTGGAAAGAATTTAATGTTAACATTTTTCTGCTTTTAAAATTTTAAAATCCTAAAAGTTTTATGTATCAGGGTGCTATTTCCCTTTCATAGCAGAATTGTTTATAAAATTCATTCTTGAAAAATCTGAATCTTTTTTAATGCTAATCACAGCATTTGTACTGTTACTTTTTAATAAATTAAAAACATAGGGGAAAAAAAAAAAAAAAAAGATCTACAACATCCAGCATGGTGTACACAACACTTATCAAATGAAAGTGCCTAGCTGATTTTACATTTCTGTATCATTTACATAATCTATCCATTTAGAGGCTTGTTTTGCACCAAACTGACCTCTTAGATAAGAAAATTTTAATATAATAAAAAACTATTTCCACAGCCAAAAGCAGGAAAGTTAAATTCAGTTTCCAGAACATAACCAGGATCCTTACCAGCAGTCCTAGGTCCATCATAAGCCCCCGATTCTTCACCATCTCTAAATATCTTCAAGGTTGGATAGCCCGTGACTCCATACTTGTTACAGGTGTTCGTGTTGGCTGTGCAATCAACCTGCAGATTAAAACACGTACATTGGTTTGCTATGCACATAACTCCTCTCTCAGGTCTTCCTATAATCCCAAAATATTAGTCTTTGGCAAGTCAGAATGCTATTTGTCTAATCAGAACCATTAAAGGAGTTCTTTAAAATTTGATTTTTCTAGACTAGGCTTTACACAAAATGCTAGTTACTATTTGAATTCTGTCATTGGAGTGGGGACCTACTATGTAAAGTAGTAGTCTCTACCTTTTTCTCATGGGAAGAATAAGTCCCTTAAAATGATTAATAGTTAAAAAAAAGATTAACGGTGGCTTGTGTGTACATGGTGCTGGAGATCAAACCTAGGTCTTCAAACATATTAGACAAGTGCTCTACTATACCACCAGCCCCAACTGTGGCTCACTTTAGTGACTATTACTGAAGATATACAGATAGATAGATAGATAGGTACAGATACCCATCTTTAGCTGGGTGGTGTATAATTTTTTTTTGTGGAACCCAGGATTGAACTCAGGGCCTTGTTCTTGCCAAGCAAGCACTTATTCTACTGAGCTATCTCCTCAGCCTCTAATTTTTGAGTTTTTTTTTTTTTAATGTGTTTGGTGCAGGGTCTACAGGGTATTCAGGGTCTCACTACGTAGATCAGACTCCTAGTGATTCTCCTGTTTTCAGCCTCCCAAGTACCAGGATTACAGGTGCACGCCCAGTTTCAACTGTTGTCTCAGCGTGCCCCAAGGGTGAGGCCAGCATGGCAGGTTGGGGATTGAACCTCAGCCGCTGCCCTCTGTCTAAACATGCACTTTAGTCCACTGAGCTATCTGGCCAGCCCTCTGAGCTATTTTACACTCCATAGCAGACCAGGGATATAGCTCAGCAGTGTAAGTGCCTGCCTGGCCAGTGCAAGGTCCTAAGTTCAATCCCTGGTACCACAAAACAAACAAACAAAACACACACACATCCCTCCACAGCATAACAAATCTAGGGAGATTTATAAAGGAGGAAAACAATTTCCATCTATTCAGTTACCCAGGACCAGGCAATACTATAAGTGTTTGCATATATTATCTCATTTAATCTTTATAAGATTCTTGAGGTACAATCCTTATGCACTAAGATGGGTAACTGAAGTCACAGAAAACTAATGTGTCTATAGTTATAGGAAGTAGGAATTAAACTGTGATTGAACTTTTCTCCCTAAAGTCCTTGATACCAAGGTTAAAAGTAGTTTCCAAAAAACAGCATTATATGTGTATGATCTATTTGCCAGTCCTATGGATTAAACCCAGGAAATGCTGAGCTATATCACCAGCCCTTGAGAGACAGGGTCTAGCTAAATTCCCCAGGCTGGCCTCCACCATGCGATTTTCCTGCCTCAGGATCCTGAGTAGCTGGGTTTACAGGTTACGTGCCACCTTCTCTGGTTGGACTATTTAAGGGTGGCAAAAATGTGAGATTTTAGACTGGAGCAACTATGAATTTACTACGGGGTAATGGCAAAATTCTTGACGCATTACTCCACTGTAACAGTGGGTTACTCACCAATAACTTTACATCACTTTCCTACTCCCCTCACTGTGGATATAGAGCACCTTTGCGCACTCATTTACTTAATCGTGATTTTTCTCTAACCACTGTAACCGTATTTTTACTATCTAAATTTGTCTCTTAATTTTTACCTTTTTGTTTGTTGAGTCATGGTTTCTCTGTAGTCCAGCTGGCCTTGACCTTACTATGTAGCCCAGGGTGGCCTAGAACTCAAGGCAATCCTCCTGCCTCTGCCTCCCGAATGCTGGGACTACAGGTGTGTGCCACCACACCTGGGTTAATTCTTTTAATCTTTGAAACTATAATTGTATTCAACAGTCAGGTGCGGGGAGGTTTGTACCAGGAATTGAACTCAGGACCTTGAGCTTGCCAGGCAAGTGCTGTACCATCAAGTTATATCCCTGGTCCTGCAGTCAGGTGTATATTTGTCCAGGAACTAGTTTCATTCTTCTTAGCATCATAAGAATAGTGAAAATAAATTTTATTACATGTTCTATTTAAAAAATATGTGTATTCTTTAATAAGCACTCCACTTGTACTCACCTTTGCTAATGGGACTATTCCTTTTAATCTGGTAGCTGCAGCTTCATACTCAGGGGCAAGCCTCTTGCAGTGTCCGCACCTATATAAATATTAAAAAAGCCAGATTCTCTGTTTAAGCACGCAAATTTGTTAGTTGCTTTTCCAGAAAGAATCTCAATAATACTTCTTTTGAACAAAGTTGCTTCCAAAAGCAAAAACATTACCTAAACATCATTACTACTAATACAGACCAGAGGTCTCAAAAGAGAAAGGTCTTCCCTCAAGCCCAGGTCTACTCTCTAAGCACCGGCGCAGTGCAGAGCAGCAATTGTCTTCAGCTGCAGTCAGAAATATAACTCACACAAAAGAGAAAGTGTTCAAGGTCTTCTGATCTACCAATTGGGCCTAAAATAGTGAACAGAACATCAATAATCCTATTTCTGGTAGTGCTTCAGAAAGAAAGGAACCTTTTTCCTTAGGAAACCAACACTGTGGTTCTTAAAATATTGTGATCAAGGGGCTGGGAGAGTTATTCAGGAGTAGAATATATACTGTGAGTCAATCCAGCATCACCACCTCCAGCATCAACATCATCAACATCACCACCACCACCACCACCATCAGATTAGAACCTTGTAAGGTTCCAAGGAATGATATTCACTCTTTAAGAATCAACTTCAAATTATATGTGGTGCCGCATGCCCACAGTCCCAGCACTGGAAAGGCTGACGCAGGAGAACTGCCATGGGTTTGAGGCCACACCAGCATACACAGTGAATTCAAGGCTAGCTCGAACTGCATAGCAAGACCTTGTCTCAAAACAAAAAACAAAAGGGTTTCAACATCAAATACTTTACTTTATTCAACATGATTCTTTATGACCAGAAACCTTGGTTTTGGAAGGGGAACAAGTTTTAGAAAGTACTGGTACAGTAGCAGCTTCTAGAGCTTTTTCAACTTAATTTCAACACAGCATCAGAATAACATTTAAGATAGTAGGCCCAGTCATGGGAACTGATTAAAAACATGTAAAAACTATTTTCCCCAGGGGGCCACCCATAGCACCTGCTCCTCTGCCTGCAAAGTCCTAACAATCCCCCAGGTGCATGGTGTATGCAACAGGGGGTGTAATGAATGCTTCTTAGGAGGAACCAGCTGTACATCACCTAGGAGAAGCCAGTAAGCTGCAGTGGGAGTAGTTTTAAAAATTGAGTTCTGTGACCTGACTGACTACAAAAACAGAACAGAGGAAAATTGAGCTCATACATTTCATAGCCAACAGTCTCAACTTATTAAAGTGATGAGTAACTTGGAAATATTTCCAAAGGAATGTAAGAGTTTACAAGGTCCTCAGGACCCCCTACTCCTCTTGGTTTTTGAGATGGGCTCTCACTACGTAGTCCAGGGAACTTGTGGTGATCCTCCTGCCTCAGGCTCCCCAGTGCTGGGATTACAGCTGTGCACTACCAGGCCAGCTCAGGAGTCTGCTTCAGAAGTCATTACCAAGGTTACAGAATCAGTGGTAGAAAAGAAAAAAATAACACTGTATGGTACAGGGTCATATAAATAAATATAAATACATATTATTTTATTTTATTTTCTTGATCTTGGCCTTTCAGGTTTTCAGCTACAAGGAGAGGGTGGGGTACTTCAGATGCAGAGACCAGTAAGAGTACTCATGAAAATGATGCTTCACAGAACTGCAAAGGATTTTTTCCTTTTGAGACCCAGAAATGCATAGTAATGACAGGAGAGGAAAAGCAAAGACAAGAACACAGCCACCTGGAAGATAATGTGTTTCACACAGCAGGTTACAAAAACTTGGACTAGAGAGGCAAATATGAGACAGAGACAAGATCCTGCTGCAATCTATCAAGAGTGAAGCAACACTTAGTAAAGTTTCACTTCAGCTATCTTCAAACATATGAAGAGAAAAAAATAATTATATCCAGGTGTGATGGTGCATGCTTGTGAGGCTGATACAGGACAAACTCAAGTTCAAGCCCAGGCTGGGTAACTCAACAAGACCCCATTTCGAAAAACAAAATCTAAAACAAACAAACCTGTATAAAAGTTATTAGGTCAAACCAGCGAATGTCAATCCTCATTATGTATTACATATATTCATCGTGCCCTGAAACGAATGTATGTTTGGCTGGCAATAAGCATCCAAGAGAAAAGCAGACATGCATGTAAGCTACAAGACCAGGACTGAAAGCCACTGCCCCAAGTACTTCCCTACACATACTGCCCTAGAAATAAAGGTAGTTCCAGTAGGGTAGGAGAGATGGCAGCACTCTTTAATCCACCAGGAATAGAAATCTGGTGGAGCTTAGGAATCCAGGTTAGTTACACAGATACATCAAGATTAACTACTACCTCTTTCTTCCATTCCTAGTAACTACTCAGGAGCCTGAGGCAGGAGGATCATAAGACCAACCTGGGCAACTCAGACAAACCCAGACTCACAATAATAGTAACAGAATCCACATCCTCTCAGGGATGACACCTAGCAGCCGATAATGAATTCCAACCTGTACTGACCTAATAATCCTTGCTTCATGGCTGCCAAGTTGCTAGACACTATTATTTTATCCTCTAATTGAAAAACTGATAAGCCCTTTCCATAAAAGAACACAGATATGGTAGAAGGATAAACCAGTTAGTTGTCCAGGGGAAGAAAAGATGTTGCAGGACATCTGGGGGCTGGGGAAGAGGAGCCAAGTAATAAAAACACTTCTGAAAATATTCCTGCACACTGGCAAGTGCAAGGGCCTGAGTTCAATCCCCTGTGCAAAAAATAAAGTAAAGGGCTGGTGAGATGGCTCAGTGGTCTAAAGCACCTACTTGGAACAAGCTTGGCAAAGCACAGGGACCGCGGTTCAATCCCCCAGCACCACATGCCAGCCAGCCCCGCCCCCTGGTGGGCTGAGCTGGCCACACACACACACAAAATAAATAAATGTTGTAAAAAAAAAAAAAAAAAAGAAAAATATTCCTGCACAGCTTTTTTCTGTGTTCTACAGAAACCTCATATCAAGTATCATTATAGCTCCTGTTTTGGAGAACAGCATGGTGGGCTGGGTCACAGCTCACTTGTAGAGTGCTGGCACAGCATGTTGTCCAAGGCGGAGGACTTAATCCCTAGTGGTGGGTGTGGGAGTTAAAAGATAGCACAGAAATCTACAACCTAAGTAGATGCAGAGGACTTTAATGCTGTGGCAGGGAGGAAGACTGTGTAGATGGGGTGAGCACCCAAGACAGGGGAGAGAAAATGATAATCAACATGCAATATGTGTATGCACCAATTCCACAAGACAAAGGTAAGTATATTTCTTTCTTTCTTTCTTTTTTTTTTTTTGTACCAGGGATCAAACTCCGGATCTTGTGCTTGCCAAGCAGGCGCTTATGCTGCTATCTCTCCCCACCAAAGTAAATATGAGTATCAAAAACATGTTCCAATTTTAAAACTCTCTCACTGGTTAAAGTATGTGTGGAGGGGATCAAGAAATTGTTTAAAAGAGGTCCATTTTCGCTGGGTAGAGGTACTCACCTATAACCCCATCCCTCTGGGAAGCTGAAGCAAGTTCAACCCCAGTCCCAGTGACTTAAGGAGATCTTGTCTCAAAAATTTTAAAAAGTGCTACAACGTGTCTTAGTATTAAGCCCTTGAGTTCAATTTCCAATAACAACAAAAAGGACCATTTTGCTTTCATTAGAATTCTTCAAATGTTTCTTATAGGTTAGGAGATGGCACTCCTGACCTGTTCAAGGGAACACTAGAGTCAGAAAACATTTCCAGTTAAAATGTTAATAAATAATAGAGGAACGTGGCAAATGACTAACATTACTGCACGGAACGTCTCGACTCCAAATTGCTTATCCAAAAAACCTGATCTTTCTCGCAGGCCTTGTGCTGCCGGAAGACCTTCTCTTCTAAACCAATCAGAAGCAGACACCGCAGCAGAAATCCACCCAATTGTGATACGTTAAAGCATGATGGGAAATGTAGTTTTAAGGGACGCATGTGCAACAATTTAAAGTAGAATGCCTTTAACTGAAACTTTGAAATACTTTGCTTTAAACAATAGTCTAATGGTTTTAATTTCTCCAGTAATTCCTACTTTAAATTGTTTATGATCCTGACAGTATCACATTGTGATCCCCTCAACATTCACAGCAGTTTTTATAAATTGGAAAGAGCTATTCCTAAAAGATAAGTCTGCTGAGCCTGAGGAGTGAAGACCTGCGTCAAAAGCAAAAACTACACTCTCTTACGGCTAATTCTGAATACAGTGTTTTTAACTAAGGATCACTGTACCAGTTGAGAGATAATAAAGCACTGTAATTAACACAGGTTCAATTATCCCTAGTGTTAAGATAATTATTGGTTCTAATAATGATTTGTACATGAACACCACCGACACTCAGGTTGGCAGGGCTAGAAATAAGATTTTCTCCCTTCACTCCAAAACAAATTAGAGTTAGGTACACCCTAAAAATTTCACACTGCAGTTTGGTTAAATCATTGGGGAGAGAAGGTTCTCCCAATACTGGTTACTTTCTCATGGGTGTTCTTTTTTCAGGAATCCTAGTTAAAAATGACAATTTGGACAGATTTTGATAAAATTATTCTTGTTCACTTATTCTTTCTGATATAGACCCTGTAGTTGCTAAGAAATAAACTATCAGCGTAATGTAGAAGCTACACCATGTGAAAGAGAAAATTGCCTGCCTCAAGAAAGGCACTGATAGCCATTCTGCAGCCTCTGCGTGACCTTGGCTGGAAACCCAGGACTGTGGACCCAGGACCCGGGACCCGCGCACTTGGGGTTGAAGATGCTCGCTGCAATCTGGAGAGCTTGTACACTGACCCACCTAGGTCGGGCCGCACTGCAAGGGAGGCCGAACTCTGCAAATGGTAAGCGTGGCCAGCGCACGGCGTGAATTGCGGGCCTGCGCGGGGCCTTTGGGCTCCCAGACCGGATCTTGCTCCGGTCGGGCGCGGGCGCGGCATCTCCGGCTCCGGTGGCCGGAACAGGCCGGCCACAATGGTGGTGGGCGTTCGGTTATGCATGCCGACAGCTCCCGCGTTTTCTCTAACCCGTCCGGCAGAGGGGTCTCACCAAGGTGCGAAGAACTCGACTAGCATGAGGCCCGCGGTGCCGGTGTCGGAGACGCGACTCTCGAAGTTGTCGTCCGTGAGCTCTATCACGTCGGAAGCAGCGGCGAGGCGGGCCGTGGCGAGAAGCAGCGCCACGCCAGGCAACAGCCTTAAGCGGTGGGAGCGCATCGCGGCGGTGCGCGGAGGGTGGGGGCTCGGAGGGCTCTGCAGAGGTCTGGCCAGCAACCGCGAACCCGTCGCCTGCGATCTCACTTCTGGCCCAGGCGGACCTAAAACCGGATGTCCTAACCCCCGCAAGGCGGAACCGCCCAGTGGGCGGGACCAGTGGGTAACCGATAATTGGCTGCGCCGCCCCTGCCCCGGGTGGATGGGACCAGCGCGTAACCGTTGATTGGCTGCGCTTCCTCTGCGCCGGGCGGGCGGGACCAACGGGTAACCGCCGAGTGGCCGGGGCTCAGAGAAGCGGGGAGCGGTAGTGCGCCGGTTCTGCGTGGATGGAGGCGGGCGCGGTGAGGAGGCTGAGTGGGCGGAAGCGGGCCTGGAGGTGCGAGGGACCGAGCTGGGGAAGCGTCGCAGTGCGCGCAGTCGGGATCAATCTTGAGTGTCGAGCCAGAGTCGCATCTCTTTTCGGGGCAGACACCTGTCCCATGCACAGGCGACTGCACGTCCGACGGGGTCCAGCTGTCTTTGTCCAGCTTTGTGGCTCCTACCCTGATGGCAGCTTTTTTTTTTTTTTTAACAAATTTTTTTAAAATGGCTTTTACATTAGTAATGTCAGTAAGTGAAAGGGACGGGATACTTGGTCGACTAGGTTCTATCTTTTACCAACCCCCTAGCCCCACCTCCACACACATACCCCCCCCCACACCCCCTTTGTCTTAGTATTTTCTCCCCAACTGCTTGTAGCCTTAGATAGGCGACTTCTTTAAGATCTCTTATGAGTAAGAACATGGGGGGAGGGGCAAACAAAAGTAAACACCTCTTCTTTGTGCAACCCTAAAAAGGAAAGGCCCTGAACTTGTGTATTTGCCGCAGACATGGTCTCAGATCTTCGTGTGGAACAGAACCTGACCGGAGTTGATGCCATTCAGTCTCATTGACGCTTCTCCCATGGAGCGTTCGCGAGGCTCAAGCCAGCCTGTGCTGCTTTACCCGGGGATAATTGGTCAGCAGCCTGTTTTCTCACTGCACTAAATTTAAATCCCCTGTCCACATCCTCCAAGGAATAGGAAACAGAGAAACACATTTAAGGGTACAAAATTCAGGGAAGATTGGCTTGGTTGCTGGTCTGAAGGTTACATAAACTTGATAAATCATTGACCTTTCCATGATCATCCTAACTCTACCTCCAAAGTGTGCCACCTTGCCTGGCCCTTTTTTTTATTTTGAGATAAGGCTCATTAGGTCTTAATTGTACAGGCTGGGCTCCAATTTAGGATGATCTGCTTCAACCTCCAAAAGTACTGGGGTTGTAGTAGCCTCCATGTCTGGCTTATAAATAAATCTCTTTGAATCCAATAGAGGGGCCTGCCCATTAGCTTAGTTTTTTAAGTGCCTGCTTAAGCAAAGCAGTCTCGCTCAGGATCCCCAGATCCTCATGCCTTGCCAGACCTGCCCTTATGGCATCCTGAGCCAGCCCCCCCCCCCCCAAAAAAAAATCCTTCTGAATCCAATAGAGTCTTTGTCAGTTTTTTTTAGGATACTACCCTTAACTGAAGTTACTTAAAACCTAGAAGGCAGGGCCTGGGAGATAGCTCAATGGCATAAGCCTCAGCTCAGTGGCTCAGTGGCATAAGGGCCGGCCTGGCAAGCTCAAGGTCCTGAATTCAATCCCCAGTATCAAAAAAAAAAAAACAAAACAAACTGAAGGTAGAGGTGTAAGGAACAGTGTGAGACAGATCAGCCTCGACCACCAGGCTTGTTTAAAGGCAACAATGCTTGGAATTTATCGCACCTAGGTGCAGGAAGAAGGTGAAAAGACCATTTGTCTGGAACAAAGAGAAATGGGGTGTTTTCTGTTTTAATAGAGCTTGAAAGAAGGCAAGGGACATTAGACAAAAAGAGCTTAGTAAAAAACATCAGTGGTCAAAGTCTCTGGACGTCTCCTGCCTTAGTGAGCAAAGCTGTATAGGCATCCAGTGTAAATATTTGGGTGTCTTCTGATGCCCATGTGTTGGGAAGATTCCATGTTCCATTGTAGCAGAAAATGTACCTGCCTCCCATACAGTGGTCCATTCTAGACACCCATGATAAGCAAAAATCAGTGTAAGGCTTTATAAACTTTTACCAAGGGCTAGTGAAAGTGCTTGCTTAGTCAAGCTCAGTGACTGGGGCTGGGATCACAGCATTGAACACAGGCCCTTGTGCTTGCCAGGGAAGCACTTATTCCACTGAGCCATCTCCTTGGCCCCTCCCTGGGCTTCTTGAGCCAGCCACAAGACCCTATGTGGTAGTGCACACCAGTAATCCCAGTGCTGGGGAAGCTGAGAACAAGAGGATCACTATGAGTCCGAGCTGTATAGTGAGACCCCATACAGAATACATTTAAAAAAAAAAATCCTTCCCACACTTTTAAAACATTTCTAGTGGGGCTGGTGAGATGGCTCAGTGGTCTGTAGCACCTAGAACAAGCTTAGCAAAGCACAGGGACTGCGGTTCGATCCCCTAGCACCACATGCCAGCCAGCCCCGCCCCCTGGTGGGCTGAGCTGGCCACACACACACAAAAAAAAAAAAATAAAAAAAAAAAAAATTAAAAATTAAAAATAAAACATTTCTAGTGTTCTTAACCATTTTCTAAACTCGTAAACCTACATGGTGTGTGTGTGTGTGTGTGTGTGTGTGTGCAAGGTCTCACTATGCAGCTCGGACTCATAGTGATTCTCCTGATTTCTGCCTCCCTAGTGCTGGAATTACAGGCATGCACCACCACTCCTGGACTCCATCGCCAACTCAGCGCACTCGGGGGCGGGGCCAGTGCTGTGTGGGTACCAGGGATCAAACCTGGTCCCTGTGCTTACCTAAGCAAGCACTTAGTCCGCTGAGCTATATCACTGGCCCTTCTATGTGATTTTAACATAGGAGTTAGCATTCTAACTTCTTTTTTTTTTTTTTTTTTACATTTATTTGTGTGTGTGTGTGTGTGTGTGTGTGGCCAGCTCAGCCCACCTGGGGGCGGGGCTGGCTGGCATGTGGTGCTGGGGGATCGAACCGTGGTCCCTGTGCTTTGCCAAGCTTGTTCCAAGTAGGTGCTTTAGACCACTGAGCCATCTCACCAGCCCTTTCTATGTGATTTTAACAACATATGTACACTGTACAGTACTGCAAAATCCTGCAGTATAGCAAAAGATCCGCAGTAAACAATTTAGATTAGTATTTTTTGAAAACCTGCGAAACAGTGAGTCTGCAAAAGTCGAAATGTGAAATAGCAAGTGATTACTGCACTTCTGATTCTTAGTTGCCCAGGTTCCTGTTCCAGTTCCAGATGTTCCTCTTAGAAATGGCTTGTCATTGTGATGCACAGCTGGTCACTGTGCTGCACATTGTATAAACCAATCCCCAAATGATAAACCCTTCTGCTTCCATGCTTCCTGCCTGTTCATCTCCTATAAGCCCTACACCATCAGAGATCGAGGCCTGACATGCTTCACATTCTCCTGATCATTGCCCATTGGGATAAATTTGCCTTCAGATCCTGGGTGTTGTTTTGGTGTTTTCTGCTTGCAGTTACACCATCTTATCTCTTTTCGGACATCTATGTTTGCCTCTTCCACCAGTGCCGAGAACAGTACCTCTGCTGGCAGACAGGTTAGGTATTAGGAGAGTCATGTCCAAATTGAGCCTTAGGTGAACAGGCTGCTTTATTTTTTATTTTTATTTATTTTGTTTTTGAGACAAGATCTCACTATCTTGTTCAGGCTGGCCTTGAACTCACTATGTAGACCAAGCTGGCTTTGAACTCACAGTGATCCTCCTGCCTTAGCCTCCTGAGTGCTGGGAGGGGATTACGGGTAAGCACTACTGCACCTGGCTAAACCTATTGCTTGCTTTTTTTTTTTTTGCCTGCTGCTTTTATTTGTGGATATGGTCAGTGTTGGTCATAAATAACACATGGACTCTCACCCATGCTAATAAAATTCCTAGTTGCTATCGGGAGGAGAAACTGAAGACAACCTGAGTAGATGTTTCATGGCTATTCATACCCCAAATTCTATCTGCTTTTCATGGTCCCCAAAGACTTTTCTTTATATTTTTCCACTAACCCTATCCCCTTTTTGTCTTGCGACAGTCTTCCATGTTGCCCATCCTGGCCTTAATTTCCTGTGCTTAAGCAGTTGTCCTGCCTCAGCCTCTCAAATAGGTGGAACTGTAGGCAGGCGCTATCCTATTTCAAATTTTTATTCTACAGCTGGGGATATAGCTTAGCAGTGCAGCACCTGCCTGGCAAGCATGAAGTCTTAAGTTTAATTCCTGGTACCTGTCTCCTCATTTTTTTTTTTAATTCTAGATTTTCCCATCAGAATATATTAGGTTGAGGCCAGGGAGATGGCTTGGTGGAATAAGCGCTTCCCTGGCAAGTGCAAGAGCCTGAGTTCAAGCCCTGGTTCCGCAAAAAAAAAAAAAAAAAAAAGAATACAATTAGGTTGAGAGATCAACACCAGCTATTGTGCTTTTCCATAAAACCCTGACATGTAGCATGTGTTTCACATGCCCAGCATGGCCTTGTGGGTCTCCTGTTTCTGCAGTCATTGGTCACTTCTTAACCTTGGGGGCCAAATGGTTTATTGACTGTGTCGCCCATTCATATTCATGGTTGTCTGCCTGCGGCCTGTTTTTCTCTTTTTGCACTCCTATTTTCTTCACTCACTCTTGGCTTATTTCCTTTCTTTTTGTGGTGCTGAGGATGGAACCCAAGTCCTCCCACTTTGGCTTATATTTTCATCCTTATTTTTTCAGCTATATAAGCCAAAGAATTTTACTCTATGTTTCTTCTATAAAAGACAGATTGCTCAATAATTTCATTATCCACATCATTTTGTTTTGTTATTGGCACAGGGTTTTGCTATGTAGTTCAGGCTGGCCTTGAACTCACAGCGATCCTCCTTCCTCAGCCTCACCAGTGCTGGGGTTCTAGGTATGCATGCCACCACTGCCGGGTCACATGGCTGTGAGTGTAATTCTACACATGGTTGCAGCAGGTGAGAACTGACATTGAATGAAAGAGGAAATGGAGGGGCTGGTGAGATGGCTCAGTGGTCTAAAGCACCTACTTAGAACAAGCTTAGCAAA